TTTATATTGCAAGCTACTTTGGAATTACAGTAAAAGGTGTGGTGAACAAAATGACGTTTATTTTATTATTTTCGTAACGGAAAAGATCTGTCGATTTTAGAGAGCAACTAACTCTTATTTGTTTATATTGAAATACATGTACTTTAAAACAACGATCACTCCAGTGAAAGCTCCGAGAGAACACAGCATCAATTTGATTGCATGAATTTCACTCTGACTTGACTTGGCTATATACATGCAGTTAGGGTCTGAAGTATTTTTTTTAGTGGGAGTGTCCTCCAAATTTGTATTTGCCTGATCAACATGAAGTTTTGTGGCACCAAATACACTTCTGTAGTGTGCTTATTATTACCATGGCAACCGTTGTAAAGACATCGGTGCTCATAAACTTAAGTCAAAAATACTTCCATTTTCAAAGCCTATCACGGAAGTATTATCCTATGACTGAAATCCATGGCTATATAATTAACAACAATACATGCTCAGTATGTAACGTGGCCGCCATTGGTGCGAGAAGCGCATGTAATTTTTCACCTCTCAATCTGTACCATTTTGTTTGTTTTGATGTATACGTTTCTTATAGTTATTACATGAATCAATTGCAGAGCATTAAATAACATCACCACGATTGTGTATATTTACTTTAGTTTTGCCAATTCGGGTTGAAAACCCACACATTTTTGGAATAAAATCAGTAATTATGAGTCCCTATTGCAGTGACCGTGGATGCATACCATTGCTTGACTGGGATGAATGTTTCAACACAGAAATACAGAAATTATTCCATAAATGTTATCTAGACAAGAGTTTGGAAAAATATATAAAAAAACAGCTCTAGTGGTAACAGCAATAGAACCAAGAATGTCATATTATAGATTCATAAATACCTCAGACAGTTGAGCTATTCCTATTGGTCGAGAGCCCGTCACGTGGCCGGTATTAAACGGATGATAAAGACATGGCTAGCTGGTCTTAAACACTTTTCCAGTGTCACAATAAAATGTGGACTCCTAAAAATCCAGTGCCTCTTACCGTTTCATTGGTTGAACGTTCACAATCCGCACGTAGGCATGCGCAACACTACAAGCGAGTCAGAATTTTATAGTTCTAAATTCAAAACGCAACGCCCCAGGTGCGTTCTGCGTGACATCGCGCAGAACATGATACGCGCGCGTCAATCTCCATAAAAGGGTTGTTTACATCTTACTCGCCAGCTGAACACTCCATTATTTTGCTAGAGGGATGTTTCAAAAAGCATGAAGTGAACTTGTTGAACAAAATCGGGATTTTTTGAACGAATTATTTGAAAAAAAATTACGGATAAGGTATTTATGAATGGGAATAAATATGTGCTCGGTCGGTATTTATCACTCGTTTAATACCGCTTAGAGTCTGGGTGCTGATAATTACCCTCGCCTCCGGCTCGGGTAATTATCAGCACCCAGACTCTAAGCGGTATTAAACGAGTGATAAAAACCTCCGGAGCACACATTTATTCCCTTAGTAATGGTCAACCAATATTTTCCTGCCAAATCGGTTGTAGGAAAATCGGTCAAAGTATGCAAATCAACATGGGATCACAGTGTGATGTACCCCTCCCTTTCAGAAAAAAACCAAATACCCGCCAGAAAGGGATAAAATCTGGAAGCACTTGTGGTTCGGTGGGGAAGTTGGTTTGTTTTTTTAATGAATACATTAACAAAACATTCCCTGCTTGTATGCAAAAAAAACCCTGTAATTTATAAGCACCAATACATTTAGATTGCTTGCCATGTAACAATGGATGCACCACAGAAGTGTGGCCATGTTGACTGCTCATGACAGTTTGGAAGAGACTCAAAAAGTCATGCTGATTACGAAATTACAATTTTGGAGGGCATAGCAGCACCCATAACGGTACTATATTCGACTTTATATGTGCTTGATCTGACCATATTTACACATTCAATTCAATCAATCAATATAGAGGCCATTTTGAGTTTTCACTAGAGTGATAGTTGTTTTAAAGTACATGTATTTTGATATAAAAATATGAGTTATTTGCTCTCGTAATCGCCATATCACTAAAATAATGCAACTGTGTTAAAAACAATTCAGCATTATGTACATGTACCATGTACATGTACCATGTACATGTATCCATATTACACCCCCCCCCTGCGCTTTCCAGATATTCCAAACCACTCCCACGTTGACAAAAAAAATATCGAAACCTACATAGTGTATGTAAATGTGTGGACTTTCCGCAAGGCAATATGTAACCTTAACAATAATACATATTCTGTACAATTCTTTGGGATGGGAGGGGTAGTTGCTCATAATGAGCACTGGAGTAGGAAGAGGGATGGCGGGGGCTGGGCTGTGAGACGGGTACGCCTGTTGGTGTAGATTATGAAAGCTTCACTTGCAAATTGACATCTATTTAAAATATAAATTTAGGCAAATACATGCAGAAATCAAAATCTGAATTTGGTGGCAAGGGAAGGGGGGGGGGGCCCTAGCTGGGAGGGGAGGACTGGACATCATTGGAATGATCATGGTGCACTTCAATCAGAGAACAATTGATATGGCCATTATTCATTGCGGCTTGCAAACACATGAGTTTTTCCCATGTGACAAATGACAGCACCACTTCTATTATAATATAAGCCAGTGCCGAGCAGGTTGGACTCATCTTGTTGGAAGCAGGATATATATTTAAATCTTGCAATTGGAGAGTTTTGTTTTGTTTCATCGATACGACTGTTGGCTCTCTGTTATAGGACCAGAATTTGGCAAAGTGCCAGACTGTCCTTCATCAGCCGTCTGCTATAGCAGACGGCTGATGAAGGACAGTCTATAGACTGGCCAGTCTATAGACTGGCCAAGTCCACTCAGTGCTGCAGGAACACCGCTGTTTCCCATGGTCGCAGCAAAATTATTTACGGATTCACGAACCAAAAATTAATGTCAACCACAGAATAATTGGTATTTCAAGAGCAGACAGGAGGTATAGAAAGGCATTTTTTTGTCTGAATGAAAGATTTACGGTACGGCGGGACTTGCAGAGAACGCTTATAACCAGCTCTGAAAGCGCAAGTCATGAGCGGTGGTTTTATATCATGTTGTATTATGCGAGAGAATGTACTCCTGATGAATTCAGACTGGAAATTTCGTAGTACCTAGATGAATAGCTTAATGGAGGCACTGTGGACGCAAGTACGCTGGTCTCTAAATCTTGTATACAATTACAAAAACCTGACCGAGCACCAGGCAAGCCATGGGAAAACCCCGATGAGAAATCTCAGGATGGATGTGTGTGTTATTTTAGTAGTAGTTCAAGGCCGTCTGCGAGCCCCAGTACCGATTAGAAATTTCCAGGATTTGAATTGATTTGACATCTGAATGTCCGCCTGAGCTGCAGTGTGCAGTAATGATGTGACAAATTGTGCAGGATTGAAAGTGAACAAGGGACGGCTGTAACTAGTAGAGTCATTTACAGTATAGTTACAGATGACGCTGAACTATGCCTACAGCAGCGGCGTTGTCGATAATTGGCAAAAAGTTAAATATGGCCTTGTCATCTTCGTCAGTTTTGCCAGACTTTTGTGACTTGTTTTGCAAATCGCATGCAGCTGGCGGACTAATTCACGCAGAAACAATGGCCGGAAATTCCTTCGATGAGAAATATGGGGCAGACTTCCATACATTATTTTTGCTCACACAAGCTCGGTGAATAACATTGGAGTCGGAAAGTTCATGTATAACGGTAAGGCTGCACTCACCGCGCTGCACCGTAATCTTATCAAACCAACCAAAACACTCCATAGATGAGGATTGTCTTACAATTAGCATCTTATTTTCAGATGTGCGCCCTTATTATTTAGGCGGGTGCCTTCTATCATATCTTCTGTATAGACCGTACCAGTGGGCCAAACTGGCCAATATTTTTTTTCTTCTTCTTCTAAAATCAGATTCAAATCGTTCGCCTAGTTGAAGGTCACATTAAAAGATGTATCCAAAAAACAACAAAATTATTTAAGGTCGTTCGTCAAGAATTGACTAAGTTTCCATTATACGGGAACAAGAAATTATACCGAAAAAAAATATTTCAAGTTTTCGAACAAGGCCTAGAAAGAGGTACTCTGGTCACCTTCCTGTTACATGATGATGTTTAGGAATCACGTTCAATCAATATCCTAAATAGCGGCATCCGATGACGCAAGAGAGAGAGAGGAAAGGACAAGTTTCGATGGATAATTCATGTTGTTAAATCAGCTGCTGACAAGCTGATTCCATTTTCGGAAGAAACGTGGAAATACTGCGTGCCAAGATCGGTCTCTCTTGAGGGCCAATCAGCTCCTGGATGATTAGCCAATGGACCTGAGGACCGTCAAGGGTTTTCTACCATCATCATCGTCTTCCTGAGCCTTGGAGCTTCTGTGAAGAACTTTGATATTAAATTTTGGAGCCTTTTTTTTGGAGCTCAGTTTGTTTTAATTTTTTACTCATATTACTTAATTTTGCCTTTGATTCTTGGTTGTGTTTATCTTGTTGTTTCGTGTGCATTTTTGAAGTTTTACCATTTATAATCTTGTGATATTTTCTTTACCTAATATTAATTAATAAACTAAGTTTTGTGCATGCAAAATCTTTAAATGTAAATCAGTGTTTTCAGAGGGAGTCGATTCTTGAAATTGGTTCCTGCTTGATGAAGGTGAACCACGGGTTACATTAAAAAGAAATGCCACATAAAACTCACAACGTAAAAACATATATAGAAATGTCAGATCTAGACATTTTATATGATCAGTGGTCTCTCGTTTCTCGTTTACCTAAAACAACTTTGTTTGGATCGGTTGTGGTTTGCCATGAGAATTGCGAATTTTTTGAAGCCCTTTTCACGGCCATCGTTCGCTGGCCTCGCGTTGCTGTCAGTTGTGTGGACGAGAAAATAGAGCAGCTACGCGTGACACGGCAACTGACTAAAGCACGGACATGCGCGAGTGCGCACAAACCTAAAGCGCGTCGCCCTTAAAACAGGAAAACAGCGGTGGACCATCAACACTCTTCCAACATGGCTATCGCGGACAAAGTCATCTCCGTTTTGACAAACGCCATCTACATTTCTACTGTGCCTTTTCTCCTATGTGCGGTCGTGACTTTCCTGGTCACGACACTGATATGGCGGCGACTGACGTACTGGAGCAAATACACCTGGCCACCCGGGCCTCGGGGCTGGCCATTGGTCGGTAATTCACTGCTGATCGCTCCAAACTCTGGACAGACTAATGCCAATATCACCAGGATTGGAAAGCAGTACCATCCAGATATGTTCACGCTGACTTTGTACTTGGGAAAGTAAGTACTAGGGCCAATACTCCTATGTGTTTTATTTCTCCATGGGCTAGGCTAGTAGAAGTAGTATAGGTAAGTTATATCAGCCGTGCGGAGCACGCTGATATACTGTGATCGTCCAGTTTCTTTCTTTCTTTCTTTCTTTCTTTCTTTCTTTCTTTCTTTCTTTCACACGTACAACGTTCGAGCTCCGGAGTAAGTAGGTGTTTTTGTGTATTTTAGACTTTGTTTGATTATTATTTCTTTACCACTGTACTTTGTATTGCCGATACATCTTGCAAGACCGTTTCTAGCCTCTCAGGTGTTTTCATTTTATTATATTTTCAGATTCATTTTTCGTTCGTCCCTGTTTAGCTTGATGCACTGTCTGACTAGCCGCCATGGCTAGCCAGGCAGGGCCCGCTATTCAGGGGCAGTCAACCGTAGGGGCGTCCGCTCCTAGCAAGCCCATTGTTCCTGGTGACGAGCCATTCAAGAACGTCACCAGGAACAATGGTGTTACTTTCCGTGCTACAGACACTGTGTCCATACAATCCTACATCGATTCGTTCACTAATGTCCACCCTGCCAAAGATATCATCTCTGCTTCTCGTATTTCAAATGGTCGTATTGCTATCTATCTCAGCTCGAGGGAGGCCGTCGTGGACGCTGTTCAACGTGGTCTCGACCATGACGGTTCTTTCCTTGAGCTGACTCCCCTCATCCGTCCTACTACCCGAATCACTTTATCTAATGTATACCCTGAAATCCCTAATTCCATCCTGGTTAATAATCTCTCGTCATTCTGTAAAGTCGTGTCCCAGATCCGCCCCATTCCCCTGGGTTTCAAAAATAAAGAACTCAGTCACATAATGTCTTTCCGGCGACACGTTCAGGTTCTGATCAATGACAATATTACACCCCCGGATCACATCAACTTCTCCCACAACGGAGTAAATTACCGTGTGTTTCTTTCAACTGAGTCCGTGCGGTGCTTTAACTGTGGAGAGTTCGGCCATATCAGTCGGGCATGCAAAAAGCAACCCTCCAACCATCAGACCCACCCGGACAACCCTCTCAACCCACCCCCGGTTTTTGTACGTGGTAAATCAGATCCCAAGCATCCCCCCAAAAACTCTTCTCGGAAATAACCAAACGCAAAAAATCTCCCCCCTCCAATCCTGTTGACGAGACCCCCCGCCTCGTCCCCCTCAAATCCCCCTCTCCCGTTCGCAAAATTGCCAGGAAAGTCATCTCTCCGATGCAAGTCTCGTCTCCCACTGTATCCCAGGCCCTAGATGCCGTTTCTCCCACCCCCTCCACGCCCGCCCCCTCCACGCCCGCCTCCACGGCTGACGGCACTGACACGGACTCCACGCTGTGGGAGGACTCGCAGGCCGACGATGATCCTTTCGGCTCTGCGGGTCTTCCCACTTGCAAAGGACCTCTCAAACCTGACGAACTCCTGGCATTTCTCAAAGCGGTTAAATCCAGCAAAAAACCTGAACTTGTCGCGCGGAAATTCACCTCAAACATCCCAGGTCTTGCTGCTCAACTAAAACCCCTGAAAAATAGCCCTCTGCTTAAACGAAACTTGCAACAGAGGATCTACAAACTCATCAAAAATCTAGATGTCTGATTTATTTCCCTCTATTTCACTATGGTTTCTGCTCAACTCACTCATTTTATTTTTGTAATGACACTGTCACTGATGACTTTAAACGCGAGAGGCTGTTCCTCCTCGGTCAAACACGCCTCTCTTCACACATATGTTGATACGCTTTGTAATAAACCGGACATCATTTTTCTCCAGGAAACCTGCAATTTAAACGATCATTTTTCTTCCTGGAGTTCCTGGCCTAGTTATACTCCGATTTGTAATCCCAGCCCCTCGCGCGGATCCGGGGTCACTACTCTTGTTAGAAATAACTTTTCCATTCTTGAATCTTCCTCCATTTACGATGGCTATGCTACTTATACTAAAATCTCGCATAATGACGTCATTTTTATCTCTACAATATTCTTATCCCTCAATCTGATAGTGAAGCCTTAAAAGCCATCGACTGCATTTACAAACACAGTGACCCCCTCAGTGACGGTGTCATTATAGTCGGAGGTGACTTTAATTGTACTTTTGATCCCGAGTTGGATCGTTTAAATATGCCGACCGAGCGTCGTCCCAGAATTTCCGTGGCTCTCAAAAACATTCTGAACAAACTTTCTTTGTACGACGTCTGGCGCAGACGGAACCCCGAGGAAAAAAAGTACACCTGGTACAGAGCTAACCCCTTCAGCCAGTATGGCGTTTCAAAAGCCAGACTTGACCGCTTTTATCTCCCCACTGCTCTTTTGTCCTCCGTCTCATTGTGTAAAATTCTTCCCTGTTCTTTGTCTGACCATTCGGCTGTGACCGTCACTATTAAGCTTCCCTCCTCTAACTGTAAAGGAAGCGCCTATTGGCATTTTAATAACTCTCTCTTAGACGATCAGGCCTACAGAGAACTGATTGCAGATTTCTGGACTGGCTGGAGGGAGAGACAAAACGAATTTCCCGACATTTGCGCGTGGTGGGATTTTGGCAAGATCCAAATAAAAACCCTCACCCAAATGTACGGGTCGAAAATCGCCAAAGAAAAACGTGACGCCCTGCTCAGGATTAACAAAACTATTGAAAACCTTCTGTCTGCGCCAGACTTTAACGAAGATACTAAACGCATTCTTGATGAACAAAGAGATGAATTGAATAAAATTCTTAACAATGAAGTTCGGGGTGCCCTCGTCAGGGCCCGTTTTCAACATGTCAATGAGGTCGACACATGTTCGTCCTACTTCTTCAATCTTGAAAAGTCTCGTTCTCAGTCTAAATCTTTTTCCAGTATTCGCCTTGCTTCCGGCGATCTCACGGACGATCCTGCACAGATTAAAAAACACGTGCGTGATTTTTATCAAAACTTGTACAGCCGACCTCAGACTGACGAGGGCGCCCTAGAGCACATTTTAAATGATGTGCCTAGACTCGATTCAGTCGACTCGGAGGATCTTGATGTTCCTCCCAGTCTGGAAGAACTCGATGCTGCGGTTAAGCAACTTGGCAAAAATAAAACTCCCGGCCTAGACGGTCTCACCTCTGAATTTGTTCAAGCCTTCTGGCCTCTCTTCAAAGACGATTTATTCTCCGTTTTTTCTCACGCCTGTAGCACCGGAATTCTTCCGCATTCTTTCCGTCGAGCTGTCATCACGCTCATTCCAAAAAAAGGAGATCTTTCCGACATAGCCAACTGGCGTCCGGTTTCCCTCCTGAACACCGACTACAAAATCTTTGCCAAGTTGCTTGCCAATCGTTTAAAACAATTTATTGGCAATGTAGTCCACCAAGACCAGTGTTACTGCGCTCCTGGTAGGACAATTTATGACAATATTTCTCTCATTAGAGATATCATAAATTTCTGTAATTTCAATGATGTTCCTTTGGCCGTAGTCAACTTGGATCAAAAGAAAGCTTTTGACAGCGTTGACCACGGTTATCTGTTTAATACTATGAGAGCCATGGGTTTTGGAGACGCTTTTATATCATATATTAATCTCTTGTATAATGGTGCCGAGAGCCTGGTGAAGGTGTGCGGCTCTTTAACTGCACCCTTCACCTTCGACAAGGGCATCCGTCAAGGGTGCCCGCTCTCGGGCCTTCTCTACTCCATTGCCATAGAGCCTTTTCTTAACAAACTCCGTAATAATCTGAATCAACATAGTTTTCTTCTTCCCGGCACCGATAAATACGTTTCGGTCTCGGCGTATGCCGATGATATCTCTCTCTTTGTTACCTCCGACAACGGTTTTAAAATAATTGAGCAAACCTATGCTATTTTCAGTAGAGCCTCTGCTGCAAGTTTAAATACTCAAAAATCCCAGGGGCTGTGGGTCGGTTCGTGGACCGGACGAGTCGACCGGCCCCTGAATTTTCAGTGGAACAGTCAAGGTCTTACCTTTCTTGGAGTTCGCTTGGGAAACACCCACGATTTCCTTAAACAAAACTGGGCCATCTGCAAAGAAAAACTTCACAAAACTCTGTCTCAGTGGAAACGTCTCTCTTCGACCCTATCCTTTAAAGGTAAAATTCTCGTGGCCAATCAACTCGCTGCTTCTAAACTCTTTCATATCTTGGCCGTTCTTTCCCCACCCGAAAATGTCCTGAGCGAACTCCAGGAACTGCTGGTCGACTTCGTCTGGTCCGGGAAGAGACATTATCTCAAAAAACAAATTCTCTATCAGAGACCCGACAGAGGCGGACTCGGTCTTGCATGCCTCCAAGCACGCATGCTCGCTTACAGAATGTCCACTATCCAACGCTTTCTCGGTCTGTGTCCTCATCCTGCCTACACCATGGTTAGCTACTTTCTCCGTCGTTACAAAAAACTCGACTTTGATTTCCAACTCTTTCAACTTGATCTCGATCCCAAATTCTATATCAGCATTCCTCCACTCTACGGCGAGCTTCTGCGTGCTTGGAAGGCATCCGGAGCTCGAATCGAAATACCATCGGATCAGATCAGTCATGTTATCAACATCCCTATCAATAGCACTCTCCTCGAACACGCGGTTGACGATGGGAACACCTGTTCTCGACTCCTCTCGTGCGGGATCAGGATCGTCCGTCATCTTCTTCATCCCTCCACCGGTCGCTGGCTGGAAGCCGAAGATTTACCCTTCGCCCCGTGCAGTTTCCGTCGTCCCTCCCTCCGCCTCATTGACAGATTGCTTCGCCGCCTGCGTCTCGCCCTCCGCTCGTCTTTTCCGTCTCTCATCGGCTCCTGTGGTCTGCTAGCTCCTCCGACTCCTCTCCGCACCGTCCCCTGCTTTCCGGATAATCCGATCCCCTTTTTCATCGCTCCCGACCTCAACGGACTCTCGCTATCCTCCAAGACCCTTTACGATATCTTCAACGTTTCCGTCAACTGCCACCCTCTTACTACAATCACTCACTGGCATCGCATCGGTTTCTTCAATAACTCTGACTTCTCCATCCC